GTAGTCCCTGGATCTGAAGAAGTTGAGGACTCGTTAAACACCGACAGGTCGGCCAACTAGACCTAAGCCCGACCTTAGATGTTAAAAATGGTCTTCATCCTACACGGTCAACAATTACACCAGATGACCTTATCAGTGAGGTAATGACTGATAACACCACCGAATCAACCCGTGTTGAACTTGATAATATTACCCGATTACGGTCAACATCCATGTTTCAAGTGCCTGTTATCGTGGGAGGTTTTCATACAAGAGCAGTGGTGGATACCGGTGCTGAAGTATCAATCATATCGGATGAGGTATACAAAAACCTTGTTGAGCCACCCTCGATATTGAAACATGTGACACTTAATGCAGCAGGCAGAGATCAACCAATTGAGAGCTATATTGTTGGACCCATCGAACTAGATATAGGATCTAAGAGTTACAAGGTTAGCATTTATGTTGGACCAATTGAAGATGATATCTTGCTGGGTCTGGACTTTCTGAAGCCCAATAATGCTCAACTTGACATTTCAGGGGATACTCTTACCCTGGGTATTGGTGGAGAGAAAATTTCAGTGAACACAGGAAAAGAATTTTTACCTGCTTCCGAAGGCAAGGTATATGTACAGAAACGGACTGTAGTACCACCGAACAGTGTAGCAAGAGTGTGTTGTCGAATTTCCGGAAAGGTAGGCAGTTCTAGTCTAATTGTGGAGCCTACAGTAGAAAATGGACTACTAATTCCGAGATCATTGTATGACACAGCCTCGCAGATCAGGTTGTACTGTGTGAATGTCACGGACAGAAATATAATTCTGAAAAGGAAAACGGAAATTGCGATAGTCAATGAGGCAAGAGAAATTATTGCGAATGTTGAAAGTCATGCGGATCCCATATTTGTGGAGACATTACGCTGTGGCGAGGAAACACCGGACATTGCGCCTTCGCATGTACAGAGTCTCATTGATGGCGCGAAAGAACAGTTGTCGGTTGAGGAGTTAAGTCAATTTGCTCAACTTATTAAGGATAATTCCGATGTTTTTGCGAAAAATGACTTTGACCTGGGACATTTTAGTGCTATCAAACACAATATTGATACAGGTACGGCACGGCCGATAAAGCAACGTTTTCGCAGAACGCCAGCATGTTTTGCCAACGAAGAGGATTTGCATCTAAAGAAGATGCTAGATTCTGGAGTTATCGAATCCTCTACATCCGAGTGGGCGTCAGCACCAGTGCTGATCCGTAAACGTGACGGCGGAGTGCGCTGGTGCATAGATTATCGGGGACTGAACTCGGTAACTACTAAAGACGTGTTTCCATTACCGTTAATAGAAGAATGCCTCGACGCATTGACCGATAACGTGTGGTTTTCGAAACTAGATGCCAACTCGGCTTATTGGCAAGTCCTTGTCAATGAATCGGACAGACATAAGACTGCCTTCAGTACAAAACACGGATTGTTTCAGTTTGTCAAAATGGGATTCGGACTTTGTAACGCCCCAGCAACTTATGCCAGAGTAATGAACCTGGTTCTTCGTGGATTAACATGGAACATTGTTCTTGCCTTCCTGGACGATGTGTTGGTTCTTGGGAAGACCTTCGATGAGCATCTCCAAAATCTAGCAGAAGTCTTTGAGCGCATCAGGGCGTATCAACTGAAACTCAAACCCGCTAAGTGCGAATTCTTTAAAAAGAAGGTTGACTTCTTAGGGCGAACAGTTAGTGAAAGTGGCATTGAAACCAGTGGCAAACACATCGAAAAGATGAAGGAGTGGCCAACACCAACATCATCTAAGGATGTTGAGCAATTCTTGGGGTTTGCCAACTACCATCGCTCATTTATTCCCGAATATGCCAAAATTGCAGCTCCTCTGTACCAATTGACAGGAAAGAATGACTTTCGGTGGGATGAGGAACAGGAAAAAGCATTTTCCAGCTTAAAATCTTCCCTGAGTTCTCCACCTGTTTTGGGAATACCGAATAACAGCGATATGTTTGTGCTCGACACAGACGCATCTGACTTTGCTATTGGTGGTGAGTTGTGCCAAATTCAAGAAGGCAAGGAAAGAACAATAGCTTATGCTAGTTATTCCCTGACATCAGAACAGCGTCGCTATTGTACAACAAGAAAAGAACTTTTGGCAGTAGTTCGCTTTACCAGACAGTTTCGCCATTATCTGCTTGGTCGCAAGTTTGTGGTGAGAACTGATCACAACAGTTTGGTTTGGTTGCTCAACTTCAAAAATCCCCAAGGACAACTGGCGAGATGGCTTGAAGAGTTAAGCCAGTATGATCTAACTATTGTACACCGAAAAGGAAAAGACCATCAAAATGCTGACAGTCTCTCCCGGAGTCTACCAAAAGACCAGTGCGGAAACTTGAAACATGGGCAAGATCCTACCACGTTACCATGCGGAGGATGTGCCTATTGTACTCGGGCTCATGAACATTGGCATCAGTTTATCTCTGATGTGGACGAGGCGGTCTCTCTAAGTAACATACCCTGCGTACAAAAAGTAACCCAGTCTGACAATACTTTCGCCGTGGAAGGAAGTCTATATAGCGAGAATTTGACCATAGAAGTGTCTGCTTTTGGAATAAATATCCTCACTAGATCTGAAAGGAGTGATATTGAAGACATGAACGTCAACGCCTTGGATATTCAATTCTCGGGTTACTCGGCAAAGGAAATCCGGACTGCTCAGGAGCAAGATCCAGAGTTATCTATACTGCTAGAGTGGGTAAAGAATAAGAAAGAGGTGGACGAAGGAGAACTGTTTGGATCCAGTAGAGCCATAAAGTATTACTGGATTAACCGTGAGTTATACTTCCTGGATGAGTCTGGTATATTGTGGAGGAAGGATCTAGAAGACACTAGCAAAACTCAATCCTTGGTTATACCTCCCAGTATGAGAGAAGACGCTATTTCTTTGTGCCATGACATCCCGGCTAGCGCTCATCAGGGAATCAACCGAACAGAATCCATGGTTCGCCAGAGGTTCCATTGGTATGGCTTGCCTCGCGACGTTCAAAAGTTCGTGAAATCCTGTGTCATCTGCAACACCAAGAAAAAAGCCAGTCGAAAGGCTCGATGCCCGTTGACTCTTTTCCAATCAGGGGAACCCATGGAAAGAGTTCATCTTGACTTCTTGGGCCCACTACCCATAACAGCAACAGGAAATGAACACATATTAGTTATGGTAGACCAGTTTACCAAATGGGTTGAATGTGTTCCCTTACCTTCGCAGACCGCCGCGACAACCGCAAAAGCAGCTGTAAACGAATTCTTCGCGAGATTTGGATATCCGTTCCAAATTCATACAGACCAAGGTAGAAACTTTGAAAGTCGTCTGTTTAAAGCTTTGTGTGAAGTTACGCAAATTCATAAAACTCGTACAACGGCTTATAGACCTTCTGCCAATGGACAAGTGGAGAGGTATAATCGCACCATCATGAACGCAGTTCGATGCTTCATAAACTCTCAAAGTGAATGGGACATCTATTTACCACAGCTAGCTGGCGCGCTAAGGTGTTCCGTAAACCGCCAAACTGGACATACCGCCAACAAGTTAATGCTGGGCCGGGAGACCAATCAGCCTGCAGATCTCTTGTATGCCGCTCCATCGAACAAGAAGGCGAAGGACTCTCGCGACTCTGAAAGTTATGTGGACAATTTGGTAGATGCAATTCAGCGTGCCCATGAAACCGCCAGAAAAACCCTTGCCACAACGCAGAGGAGAATGAAACGTGATTACGATGTTCGCGTTTACACTACCGAGTTCATTGAAGGGGATGTGGTCTACGTCTTCGACAATGCAACGCCTAAGGGACAAAATCCCAAGTTAAAGGCCGTTTGGAAAGGTCCTGGACTCATAGTCAAAAAGTACACGCCGTACGTCTATGGAGTACAGATGGGGAAGACGCGACAAGTCATTAATCACGATCGATTAAAAATGTGTAATGACCGTAAGCGACCCCAATGGATAATCGATCTCCAGGAGCACCGAGCGGAACCGGTAGAGGAAACCCACTGTGTCTGCCATCAAACGGATGATGGGACCATCATGATCCAGTGTGACTTTTGTTTTGTGTGGTTCCATGGACGTTGTGTGGGCTTAAATGTAGAGGAAGCCGAACAGCTGGAACTTTATTGCTGTACTACGTGTGAACTATCTGTATAAGTGTGAACTGACTCCACAGTATACAGGGACTTCTATAAAAGAGGGAGGAATGTGGTGTTTGTTGACGTTCTGTAAGCGTGCGAATGACTGTGAGTGAAGCATGTGAGTGACCTCGAATTGTTCATGCATGTGTTTTGTTCCAAGATAAAAAGTACCCAAGCTGAGATAGCTGTCCAGTGTTCTATATTTGTGAAGCGTATGTGTGCCGACTGTACTGGTACGAATACAACACTAGGTTATTATGCAGTAACATAATAATAGGCAAAGACATCAGCTGCAGCTTTTAACAGTTGCAAATTAATATAACAGCAAAATGCAATTTGCCTGATAACTACACATTAGATTTCCAAACATTTTAGGGGCCAGACTATTTTTTATATTGATGCTTTATAGATCTCTACAGTAATCTGCACTGCGTCATGATGCATTGTCACTAAACATTTATATAAATGTAAACTTTATGTACGCATGGTAAATCAATAGATCACAGATTAAAAATGCCAGCTGGTACTCTCTATCTGTACATGTGTTGACACTGAAATAGCATGTTGGTAAAATGTAACGTAATGATAATAAAATATATATCGTATGCTGTATCAAATAATATAACGTTTCATTTTTTAAACGCCCGGAGTCTGAAATATGGTCTCAGAATTATGTTACATATGTGGCCTAGATCGTTCCATATGCTATATGAATAGACATGATGTATAAAGAAGTCTACAATATTGACAGAAAACGATTCGTGTGCGTAATTAGTAGAGATACCTCGATACAAATGGACCTCATTATAAATATTCAGATCGATTCCGAACGATGTTTTTGTCTCACCTTTGTCGTAAAAGCTTCAAGCACTGAAACCACGTCCTGTTCATTTCCAGTCTGTAATGTTTTTAAAATATTCGTATCAACACTCATATTTGTTGTAAATCACAAAGATCGTGATAGAATCTGTTAATTTGGAGGATATTTTGTTGACATTTCCATCTTACTGCAAGCCAAGAAAACAAACTGCTTCCTCCTTGTACTCGCACGAGTAGGTCAAATGACCGTCAGACGAACCGCTTCTGCAGGTCCTTTATATATATTATGCTTATTCCTACACCCATACAACGATATCTTTGCTTCTTTATTTTGTAGGCTAATTGACAAGCCGTTAATATACGTCTTTTTTGTTTTTACGTTTTTTTCTGTCAAATATCCTTAAAAAAAGTAAAAACTGAAGTGATAAAGGCAGAGACAAATAAAGAATATTATATTATATATATATATATATATACGTCTCTAATGAAGGTGAACATTTACCAAAATCTGAATCATTAGGACTGCAGAAGCAAGCTAAAATAAATCTAACCTTAGCCTATAATTAAAATATTTTAACAAAGACATTTTCGTCACCTATAGAAGTCCCGTGTACTATATATGTCATTATAGTATCAGCCAATTTATAGAATGTTCAAAGTATGGTTAGCTTCAGAAGTTGTTAACGCGAAATTTTCAAAATGCAAATGCTATCTTTGAACATTTCATATAAAAGTGTGTGTTCTGACCATCAGTAATCATTTTAAATCCGTGCAGTAACAGTTATGAACGGGATGGAAGTTTTGTATTAAAGTGGTCGTTTAATTAACTAAGATACAAGTATTTGTGGAGTGCGTGCATATGTCCACAGCTCTCAGCTTCTCTGCTTACCTACAACTCAGAACTACGGGTTTAGTAAAAAATAGGGTATATAAAGTTATTAGAGTACTTAGTGCCACTTCGTCACACATACAAGAGTAAACACAGAGATCCAACTGAGATCTGCAATGGGCAAATTCAAGATGGCTGACTCTCTTTTTTTCTGATCAAGCTAAAAATATGAGAAAGAGATCTGCACTTTGGTCTTCCGAACAAACATAAATGAAACAAATAGAACCCGACAAAAACAGAAGAACGGTTCTTAAATTACGTTTTTCCATAGTAATCAGCGATTCCATAGATTCAATGGTTTAAATGTCTGTCTGGCGCCCATCTTTCTTTTCCGATCACTCTGAAAATGAAGCAAAGAATATGAATGGGGAAATTAAGAAAGATCCCTCCAGTACTTTCTGAGAAATAATGATGGCAAAACTTGGACCGCCTGGCAGCCATCTTGTTCTTTCGATCAGTCCCAAAATTAACAGCGGTATCGGGAAATTGCCCCGATCCTTATAGTAACGGATTGATTAATTGGAGATATAATCATTGAACTTGAACATATATATCTAATTCCATGATACTAATTTAAGCGTCGGCCAAATGTGGTGATCGTCAGTCTAGAGTTCGGAGCCTGGTTCAGGCTTCGAACCCCGGTCTAGCCGTGCATGATCCTGCGCCTACTACACATATAAATTGTATCTGTTTCAAAACTGTTCTAAAACAAAAACAAAAAGTGAGCAGAGGCTCACATGGATAGCCAATGACCTCTGACCTTTAAACTTTGATTGATGACCACCAAAATCGAATAAGGTGTAGAACCAGAGACATATAAAGCCAGAAAGTAGAACTGATGTTACCCTTTTATGGTAAACTAAAGTTATTGAGGGGTACGTAAAATATCTTGTTCACAATATCATGATTTCAAAAGTTTTGACCTTGAGTATTAACCTTTTAACCGGGTTCATAGAACCCGAATAACACAGAAGAACGGTTCTTAAATTACGTTTTTCCATAGTAATTAGCAACTACTGTTACAGTTGAATTGGAAACTTTTGATCTGCATACCACGGAATTAGATGCTATAAAAGTCCGTGTGCATACCAATAGTTTTAATAAGTCATTTCAAATAAGATATAAATGGTGTAATTATGAACTAAATGTATGTATGGACTCACGAGATATCTTTTACAGAAGCTTTCTACTATGGACGGACGACAAAGCGATCACTATACATGCACCCGTCCCAATAGGTGGGGTTATTAAACTATTGTTTGAGTTGGATTCCGTCCCAGGCATCACCAACTGAATAGTGTTGTTATCACTAACAGTTAGACCTAAAAGTAAGAATGATTGGTCACCATAATGAATAGATTAAATCACTGTAATGACTGAGCAGGTAATATAAATATCACTTAAATCATTAGATTACATCACTGCATTTTCACGGGGGTAATCCCGATACTCGCTATTTCGCTTACGTCAGAGTAATACTCGCTGTTTGGATCACGTCGGAGCAAAAAGCCAGTTTTGCACCAAATACGCCTTACGGCACTGAGATAAAAATGCTCCCACGATTGGAAGAGTGTAGCGCCAAAATACAAGATTACGTAAGTATAATGATGTGATATCAGCAACAAAGTTGAAACAATGATTACAAAAAAGCCCGTTGAAGGTATAGATACTATCACATACACGTGTCATAGTAGATTTAATACTTTAATTATGAATATTCTGACGTCATACACAAATCGACGTGCGTTTGATATAAAGATGAATAAAACGATTCCCCGTTTCATTGAAATGGAGTAAATATCTACAATAATAGAACGAATAATACGTTAATTATTAAATATATTAATTTATCACATGGACATTACATTTGTGCATAAACTGCTATTTAATACTGGTGATACGGATTACGAACGTGCTCAGTTTTAGTTGATACGGATTACGTTCTATGTTGATACGGATTACGTTGTATTAAATCGATTATCGTGCGAGGGTTTTTATCACTATTTTATATCTCCGTCTCTTCAGGTGAGTTATGTATCTTGTCATTATGTAAAAAAAAAAATGGCACAATAGTTGTGTTGGTGTTACATGTTGACCAGCACACTTATAGTTTGGATAATGTTGAGCCATAACAAGCACTGGTCCCCTCCCCTTATTTGGAAAAGGCATGCCAATGTAAAGAAATTAATAGCTCTGAGAGACAAAAAAGTAACTTTGAAAATGAATTTATGTTACTCTTTTACATACCCTCAACATGTCAGTCATGTAATTGTCATTTCACTTGAGTAAGCAAGTTAGACATGTTAGTATACAACAAAGTTAGGGGGTATACTGGAATCAGCATGTCTGTCTGTCCGTAGAAAAAAGTTTGTCCGGACAACTCCTTCTAAAGAAATGGACCAATTTCAACGAAACTTTCCAGATATGATAACTACCACCCCTGAAGTTGTGCATTTGGTTCAACCTCCACTAGCTAAAGTTTGTGGAAAAAATCAACAAATACAAACGTCAACAGGGCAGAAATTCATTCACTTGGTTATCCCAACCACAATTAATATAAACAATAATTATTTCTTTTCAAAAAATAAAGATAACAAAAATCATGAAAAAATATCCCCAAACACACTGGGGAGTAACCGCATGGGTACGTATATATGTACTGCATAAAAATATTTCAAGTAATACCTCCAGAATATAATCTTGCAAGCTTACCCATATTAAAATAGGGTTGGTGGGCGGGTTTATATAAAGCACTGTGAGGCTGCTGCCATCTTGCTCTGCTTATGCTGTTAAAAGACCGGAACTAGCATGGGGAGCTAAGGGAGCTAACTCTAACTGCCTTGGCAAAGGCTAAAGTTGCGTACACCAAAATACAATTTACTAATAAATTTACACTTTGGTTCAACCTCCACTAGCTAAAGTTTGTGGAAAACATCAACAAAAACAAACGTCAACAGGGCAGAAATTTATTCACTCGGTTATCCCAACCACAATTAATATAAACAATAATTATTTCTTTTCAAACAATAAAGTTAATAAAAATCATGAAAAAATATCCCCAACCCAATCAGTTCTTGTATTTAGGAGAAAATTATTAAAGGGGGTCGTTATTGTTGTTATATTAAAAAAAAAAAAAAAAAAGTCTTAGACTCACACAAAAAGTCCCTTTCCCTTGCAATTTCTGGACATTGATGCCTTAACACAATGACATGCCAAACTCTCTTGCCGTTATCAATTTTTGCGAAAAATCTGTTTCTATGTATCTAAACACAGCATCGCTTGCCCAATAACCAATGGATTTGATGGTGTCAAGTGGGACCCCTAACTTGGCAAGCCAAGTGGCCCCTCCTCTACGAAAAGAGTGGCTATTCGAGCCTTCCTCCCCTATTTGACATAGGCAGTTGCGCAATTTATCACAAAAACACTTGTGGCTGAGAGCTGAACCACCGTTAACTAGGAGGAGAGGTCCCAGAGGATTTGCTGCCTCTGTAATAAGCAACAGACTTTCGAGCGCTGTAGCAGGACATAGATCATTCCCCGTTCTGGGCAGTAGGATTTCAACACGTTTTCCCTGAACTGTATAGTCTTGGTTCGGCGTAAACACAACACATATCACCAGGGATAAGGGAGAAGATCTATGCGACGAACATCTCGGTCTCCATCAAATGCGCCAGTGGTCGTAATGTTCCCAGGGCGCAGGAGCCCATAAAACGCAATTAAGCATGCACACCAAAACGTAATGTCCGACAAATTGGTAAAGTTCAAGGTCGACTTGATTTTATGAAGCTGCTGAGGTGTGATTGGCCCCCACTGGTGACTGGGCTGTACCCAACTCGCGCTTAATACCTTGGAGTAGGTGTTTGAGTTGAAAGTCCTTGTTCACAGGGTCCCCAAAACCCGACAGTCTGTGCAAGTGTGCATGTGAACCACAATATTGAGATATTGTTGGATAGTGTTAAACCGAAAACCTTAGCCAGGTAAGTGACGTATAGTTGAAGGACTTTCGATGCTGCTGGGACAGATGTACAGTTAATACTTCCGCAAAAAGTTAAGTAGCACTGCATATGTGTACGGTAAGTGGATGCTGTAGAACTATCCCATGCCTTGTCTTTGTATTTCATTGCAGCTCTCTCCAGTTCCTCCACCATTGAACCACCTACAGCATATAAACAGTAGAGACATATGTTGAGACAGTTCATGTACACAAAAGTCACTGTAGGCAAGGGAAGGAAGCAACGAGTACAATAACGATAATTTGTCCATCTCGTGTAGTCGAGAACACGTGTCCGCAACTCGGTTCCACTCTCCTGGATAATAAATGGCTTTGAGAGCGATATTG